ATATACAGATTTCTGGTTGCCCTCTTCCATGCCATTATCACCTTCCACCTAACTTACTGTGGCCCCAATGCTGTTAACCATTTCTACTGTGATGACCTCCCTCTCTTGGCTCTGTCCTGCTCAGACACACATGTGAGGGAAGTTCTGATCTTTGCCTTTGCTGGCTTTGATATGATCTGCTCCTCTTCCATTGTCCTCACCTCCTACATCTTTATCACTGCTGCCGTCCTGAAGATTCACTCTACCCAGGGGCGACACAAGGCCATTTCTACCTGTGGCTCCCACATGGTGGCTGTCATTGATTTTTATGGCACGCTGATCTTCATGTACCTACAGCCCAGATCCAGCCACTCCCTGGACACAGACAACATAGTATTCTACATGGTGGTGACCCCCATGTTGAACCCCCTAATCTACAGCCTAAGAAACAAAGAAGTGAGAGATGCCTCCAAGAAAGCCTTGAAGAAAGGCTGTGAAACTGTAAAGATGTTAAAATTAAGAAAATAATAGTAATAATAGCTTATTAAATACAAGAAGGTAAATGAATCAAGCTTTCTCTTTCTGACATTTCTTGTAATTCTTTCCCAATTCAACTGGAAATGTGGCTTTGATATTATCTACCAGGTCCCTGGCCAATTCTGGAAAGTTGGTTTGATTCCAAGTCCTGTTCAGGCTACCATAGCCTTTAGATACCAGTGAAATTATGTTTGAATAGAAACACAAACATGGTCTCAAATATACATACATGTATCCCAAGCAAGGGCATCACTGTGTCTTTGTTAGAACTGAGGACTCTGGAACCAAGACTACCTAAACTTGAATTCTGTCTTCTTCCTTTTTTGACTGTGCAGCTTTGGGCAATGAAACTGAACTCTGTGACTCTCTTTCCATTTTTGGAAAATAAATAAGACCCAACTCATTGTTTGGTTTTAAAGACTAAACAGATTATTATTTATAAAACACTTATAGCAATATCCTGTGATAATAAATGCTATGTAATTGTTTGCTATATAAGTGTTTGTTATGTATAACTAAAAAATAATTCATTGAGCTCTCAAAAATTTACTTCTTTAAGTAAGAAGGAAAAGCCTGATTAGGTTTCTATTACCTGCTGGGCACTGAATCAAGTAGTGTTACTTACTACAATAAAACAAATCCCAGAGTTGGGTAAGATTTCACCTCTGGGCTTCAATTTTTCACAAATTGTGTAAGGTTACATAATTAGTAATATGAAAATTCTAAGTGCAAATGCAAGTCTTTCTGAATTTTGTTTTCTTAACCACTATGAGTATTATAGATTATCTGGACTTAAAAATGTCATTATTGGATTTTTTAAAATATAAGTGGAAGAACATGGTTTATAAGAAACTGTGTTTTAAAATAAATAATTGATGCATTTGCATATTGTTCAAATAGAAATAACCTTTGTTTATAATGTCATTTATTCAATCACCCTTATAGGATCATGATATGAAAATATTAGTGATTTGACATGCTTTAATTATTTTGACACTTCATAAAAATAGTTAAATTAGTGATTTAGTATTATCTTATTATTTTACCATTTTAGAAGGAGATGCTGACAGTTACAGTCGCTATATAAAATGCTGTTTGAAGTCTGCAATACAAGGGATTACTTCTTCTTCTGAGATTAATTTGTAAATAACTCATTTATGCTGCCATGAGGTGCTTTTCAAATCTTGTGAATTGAATGAATTCTCAACTTTTTAAAACAGTTTTGACAGAGAAACATGGTGCTTCTATTTACCATACTGTGTCTTGTGAGTGTATATTTATATAGACAGCTATCCACACACATCCTATCACATATCATGTACAGGGCCCACAGGCACAGCATAGCCAGTCTCTCTTACAGGTAAAGAATTTCAGACCTATAGAATCTTAATGCCTCACTGAGGAACACCACTTTTCTTGAGTTTCATTTTATCTTTTTCCTTCATAATATTTGTAACAGCAATGCTTAAACACTAATTGAATTGATGTTTCCACATCTTTACACAATTTTAAAAACTAAGAAAAAAAGGGTTATTCACATGATGTCATCCAAAAACTAGGCTTAAGTTAATCTTTCAATTAGAAAATAATTTGAAAGGTATGTGAGCCTGAATCTGGCACAACAAATGGGCCCTTCATGTTGTACTGGACTCTGGAGAAGAAAGTAAAGGGAAAAGGTGACCACGTATGCAGCAGAGGCTCTCCACCTTCATCATCTCTTCACTTATTTTGTTAAAACTGAGATTTAACAAAATTAAACTCAAATCTTGTGTTCTTTCCCTAGTTTTTAGCTACATGTTCATTAATAAATTACATAAGTTGTTTTGGATCTCTTTATTTTTAAAATATCTGTCTCAGTAAGTTGTTATAAAAATTAACTGAGACTGTCCATTTAAAGCATTTCGTTCAGCACCAAACACACAGAAAGACATTCAGTAGATGGTAGCTTTATTTTTACTTTGAAAAGTTTGAAACTAAATAAATGCATAATTTATTAAGGCAATTTTTACTAAATGTAACAAAAGCAGCTTAATTTTTTTTTCAAGAAAAAAAATATGCTTATTTTAATAGCAGAAATGAAGGACTCAAAAATTCAGTTTAAAATATGTCCATAAATAGATAAACAAAAAGTTTATACTGTGTAACACAGGGAACTACATACAATATCTTGTAGTAACTTATGGTGAAAAAGAATATGAAAACAAATATGTGTATGTTCATGTATGACTGAAGTGTTGTGCTGTACAACAGAAATTGACACAACATTGTAAACTGACTATACTTCAATAAAAATATAATAAAAATATGTTTATAAACACACACAAAAAGAAATTAAAAAGAATTAAATTGCTTTTAAGATTAAAATAAAATAACTTGTTAGCTTTTATACTTTCATTTTGTTGATTCTAAAATAAAGCATATAATATTGTCAACTGTTTCTAAAAAAAAAGACTACTACCAAATAAAAGAGATCACTGACACAATAACAATGCTGTAAATAATTAATATTACTCTTTAGGTGTGAGTCAACATATACGAAGGGCTTGCTCTTTGCTAGGAGCTATGTGATGCCTTTTAAATTTGTAGGATTATTTAACCTTCACAATTAGTCCAAGACAAAGGGAATTATTACCTGCTTTTTCTGATAAAAAACTAAGAAACAGAACTGTGAAATAATTTACCCAAGATATCAGCTATTACTTGGAAAAGCTAAAATTGTTAGCCAAACTGTGTGAATAAAGATTCACATTCCTAATCACACACTTATATAGAACAGGTGATGACTTAAAATGGTGTGAAATGGCTCCAATGAACTAAACTGACACAGCATAAGTGTCACCAAGTGTTCAATGTCAGGCTACCCTTGTAGCTGAGTTGCAGGAAGTGGAATGCTAGGAAGATTGTCTAGAATGTTAAAACCAAATATCCCTGCTCTTAAACTTCAACATGCTTTCAAGATTACCTGTGCAGCACGCTTGAAACATAAGATACCAGATGTTGATTCACTATTTCAGTACAACACAGATTTCTCAATAGATGACACAGAATTCAGATAAAGCCTCTCTTTTCCAATACTGCTTCTTTAATGAGGAAGAGGTTGTTGTGGTCAAACAGGATTAAGATCTCTCTCTGTCTCTCTCTTTATTTTTCCTCTTCCCTTTTATAATTCAGTAACTCAAAATTTACAAAATGTGTTTCACGTGGAAATCACTAAGAATGAAATAGTGAGTGAGACATATTCTGAGTGGATCTGAGCATGGGAAGTGAAGAAGTTGGTTCATTTATCACCATGGTGATTCTAAATAAGCCACAATTCCTGGTTTTCTGATGCCTCCCTGTCCAATGATTTTTCGGTTGCTTGAAGCCAAACAACTTCTCTGTAATTCTTTTCAGTGCACTTTTTACTTCCTGATTCCTCAAGCTATAGATCAATGGGTTCAACATGGGAATCACCACCACATAAAACACCAAAGCAAACTTATCTGTGTTCAGAGAATGGCTTGACTTGGACAGTAGGTACATAAAAATGATTGTCCCATAAAATATGGTGATGGAGGTCAGGTGGGAAGCACAGGTGGAAAAGGCTTACTGTCTTCCTTCAGCAGAATGGATCCTCAGGATGGCAAGGAAATGATCATGACCAGTAGAGAGCAGAGCGTATTGAACCCAGTGATGACAAACAACATCAGCTCTTTGACCTGAGTGTCAGAACAGGCCAGAGCAACCAGAGGCACATCATCACAGTAGAAGTGATTGACCATATTGGAGCCACAAAAAGACAACTGGAATGTTGCCACTGTCTGTACAAGACCCACACTGAACCCATAAACATATGTGCTAGTGATGATTCGGTTACAGAGTTTTTTAGGCATGAGAATGATGTAGAGTAATGAGCTGCAGATGGCCACATACCTATCATATGCCATGACTGAGAGCAAATACTGCTCACAAACTACAAATGTGATGAAACAGCACACCTGAAGGGTGCATGCAAAAAATGTTATACTTTTAACATCACGTAGGAAATTCACCAAGGTGTTGGGGGTGACAGAGGATGTAAAAGAATAATCAACAAAAGCCAGATGGCTAAGAAAAAAATACATGGGTATGTGAAGCTGAGGACTGACTTGTATTAGCATAAACAAACCAAGGTTACCCACAACACAAGCTAAATAGATTACTAGGAATACACCAAAGAAAATGGCTTGAAGCTCTGGATTATCTGTGAGTCCCAAGAGGATAAAGTCAGACACTGCTGAATAATTGATTTTTGCCATGGTACAGATTTTAAAATATTTTTACAATAACCCCCTCCAGAGTACACATTCTGTTTATTCCTGTCTCCCTTGGCAATAATCAAGTAGATATTAGAAGCTGGTTCTGACCCACCATGATCTTATGATGAATGTGTTCAGAGGAGAATCTTCACATTAGCTCTGGCAATGGAAATAAAAGCAAAAATCAACAAGTGGCACCTAATTAAATTTCTAAGCTTTTTCACATAAAAAGAAACCATAAACAAAAAGAAAAGACAATATTTGCAAAGAATGTGACTGACAAGGGCTTAAATTCCAGAATGTAAAAACAGCTCATGCAACAACAATAAAACAAACAACCCAATCAAAAAATAGGCAGAAGACCTAAACAGACATTTCTGCAATGAAGACATACAGATGGCTAATAGGCCTGTGAAAAGATGCTCAATATCTTTAATTATCAGAGAAATGCAAAACAAAGCTATAATAAGATATCACCTCACTTCTGTCAGAATGGCCATCATTACAGTGTCCACAAATGATAAATGTTGGAGAGACTGTGGACACTGTTGTTGGGAATGTAGACTGGTGCAGCCACTATGGAAAACAGTATGCAGATTTCTTAAAAAACTAAAAATAGACTTACCATATGATCCAGCAATCCCACCCCTGGGCATATATGTGGAGAAAACTCATGTTCAAAGATATGCATGCATCCCAGTGTTCATAGCAACA